GGCCTGCTTCTGTTCATTTACAAGGGATGCCGAAGTTCCTGCCAGCTCCCCCTCGCTCACCACATCCCACGGGATGCCCAAGGACCCCTGCATAATTTTAAGGGATTTGGGTAGCTCTGTCCCACTTTGCTTGGGATTGGGAATTTGCTTGCAATTATACTGCTTTGCTTATCTGACTCCAACACAGCTGATAAACTTGGGGCAGTTTCACATGGAGAAAGATAAGAGAAACATAATGGGAATCCATAGGGCAGGAAAGGAAGTGGCACCTCATCATTCATTGTAGATGAATCCGTATTCAAAGCAGCAAGAGCCCTGGACTACACTACATTTACAAGGAAAACATCAGTTCAGACCCTGATCTCTGCCTTAAGAGACTTTTTCCCCGATAAAAATCATTGCAGAAGTGCAATCCCAATATTTTGTGATGGCCCCAGCCCACTGCCCTAGCCCAGGATCAGAAAGGGGTTTCACCTGGGATGCTCTTAACTTGCCACCTGTGGATGCTGCTGGAACACCATGCCTGTGCCTTCACTGTGCAGGAGGGCAGACTAAGGAAAACGAGGGTTGCTGGATTCACAGGGGTAGCTGCTGACTGGACAGCAGTTGTCACATATTTTATTAATGCTTCACGCCTTTGTGTTCTGTTCAGACTGGAGGCATTGCTGGACCACTCACACATTGGCTGAAGTTACGGGGTTTCAGTTAGCTTCCATGGCTTAAGGTTGGGTGCATCATCTGCTGCTTTTCAAAAAGTGGGGGTTGTGCTTTTTACTATTGTATTATGTAAACTGTGGTGGTAAGCCATCCTGGGAACACAATTTACTGCTCCATTCTGTGCACAAGAAACACTGGTTTCCCCTGACTTAGGAGGGACACCCTGGGTCTTTTACATATGTAAGGCCCTTGAACTGGGGTCCTTTGCTTAAATTTGCATAGATGCCAAGATATAAAGTAAATTCATCAATTATATGTTTCTTATTGTACCCTATCAATGTAGGATATGTACAATAATTGTATTAAGTATTATAATGTATTGCATTATGTGTAAAATAATTGTGCCCCATCAAGGACACCATTTTGTACTGATGACAGACCAGACAGAAGAAACTGTTCACCCATTAAGGACAATGGAGGAGAGAAGACTAAGAGTATTTCCCTCCTGCTCCATCCATTTAACAGTGACAGAATACAGGAATTGGGGTATCTCTATATCCAATCACAGAATACCTCTGCCTGCCTGCCTGCCTGCCTGCCCGCCCATTCATTCATTCATTCATTCATTCATTCATTCATTCATTCATTCATTCATTCAAAGCTTTTCTAACCCATCCACTACAAATGTCTTGGGACAGCTTGGCACACATAAGAGTAAATGCTGGTGTTAAGTATGAAAAACTTATGCTTTGCCCAAAAAGGCACTTCTTTGCACAAACAGTCTGGCTGCAGAACAAATGTTTAAAAAAGCATGTTGGTAACATTTCTCTTCTGATATTCTTGGAGGAATTATTTCTAGGATTCCAGGTATGAATGCCAGCCAACAACACCGACTCTGCTTCTATAGCTGGGGATGCATCCTACATGGGGAATAGGGGAAGAAGCACCCATACTGTAAAAGAGAATTGCTGGAATTGTTCATGTGGAAAGACCAAGCTGTAAAAACTCTCCACCAGCAATATTGATTCCCATTCAAATTTGTTAGGTAGCTGGTCTGCTAAAACTGTAAAGCCCTGTGTCAGGACCCTTGATACTGGATCTCCTGAAAACAGCAGCCATTATGATGCACATGAAAGCCTTCCAACACGTGGATACTCTGCTTACCTGTCCTGTTCGACAGCTTTTCCAGTTCTTTGGCAGCTAGTGGCCCCAAAGCAATGGTGTGAATTACAGCCCTACTACTTTCAACTTCACTAAAGCAAGAGCTTATAGCAGAATCTTCTCCATCTGTCAAGAGCACAATTTCACAGCCTTCAGTACTACTGTACTTTTGTCTAAACACCTATGTAGAAAAGAGCATTTAAGTGTTAACAATATCAGAACAAATAAGAATGACTTTAAAGGAAACTTCCTGGAAGTAAAATGAAAGAGAAACATCTAAAAACCATTGTTTTACTTACTGATTGGGTTTTTAGCCCTCCCCATTATCCACAAGCACTGAACATGGGTTGTACTAGTTTCCCAGTTGGAACAGAGGCTAATTTTGGTGAAATGAATGCAATATCTATTCCTGCTAGAGGGTGCAACCCTAGGGCCTCCCAACATTGTTTGGGGGAGCCATAGGATAGGTCAGAATCCCAGCTCTGACTTCAGAAAACCGCGTCAAGGCCAGAGCTGGGAATCGGACCTCAGAGAGCGCTCTCCCCCCCCGCCCCCCCGCACAGCCAGCACTGCCCTTCCTGTCCCTGCTGGGCTCCAGAGGCAGAAGACCATCTGAGGAGCAAGGGGGGAGGGGAGGGGAGTTGTGAGGCACCACCCTCCTGTTGACCACGTGGGCAGTGCTTCGGCCTCTCTCCCTGCTTTGGCAGATGCCACAGTATCCCATTGTGGGAGGCCACTCTGTGAAAACGTCTGACACTGCACTGCTGGGCGATTCTTTGGTCGGTTCATCTCAGGAACGTGGAAGCAGTGCTGGGTTGAAGCAAACACTTTTATGCCTGCTATGGCCCCTCATGGATTATTACTTCTAGCAGGGTGGGGAAAATCCCGGCCTCCTTAAAGGAGGTAGTTGTACAATCACTCTTGTAGCAGCATTCTTTGCACCCAGGAGATGGTAACCATTATGAGCTTTCGGCTAATGCCACTTACTGGGCAAAGTGCTCGAATATGTTGCTGCCGATCAAGACTCTCTCGGATAAATGGGTTCTTTAGGTCAATTTAAATTAGACCTGGTTTTGGCACTAAAACCACCCTGATCACTCTGTAGAACAGCAGGGCAAGTGCAACCCTGCTGATTCTCCTTGACCTCTCAGTGGCGTTCAGTGCTATCAACCATGGTATCCTTCTGGAAAGGCTGGTTGAGCTGGGTACGGATGGCTGTGTCCTTTGGCAGTTCTCGTTCTGCCCTAACTCGCTGTGGAAACTGGCTCCACTGGAAGGAGTGGACCAAGCCTGGTATAGCACGTTCACATCCTGTAAGATAGGCTCAGATCAGGCAGTGCAATTTCCCAGTGAAAAAGGCAGAGCCTGTCAGGGCAGATCAGTGGCTGGACAAATGAGTGGCCGAAACGCATGTATAAAAGCAGTCATGTCAGCAACACAGAGAGGCATCCTGGAGCGCTATGAAACCTGGCAGGTCTGGCCCTTTTATTAATCCCAGCCCCGTGGAGGAGCTAGCTGGTTCTTAAAGGGAACCAGTCTCTGATTTTGGAGCTCTGCCTGGATGAGAGCAAGGATTGAGACTAGAGAGCACGAACAGTCGCACTCATACTTGTGTGGACCAGAAGGTGGTACTGGGAAATTTGTGTGGGTCCCATGTCATTCATACATTGGATCTGGCAGGATTACGTCTTAGGCCCCATGCTGTGCAATGTCTACAGGAAACATCTTAGTTTGGTTTTATATGAAGATACATTGTGTGCTGGTATCAGTATATGGATGACATACAACTCTGATTCTCTTTGTCTTCCAAAGCAGTGTTGAATACTGTTTTGGAAAGCAATTGGATGAGAGCCAACAAACTGAAGCTCAAGCCGGATAAAAGAGACACAGTGCTATTCAGTAGGTTCTTTCCAGATGAGTCCTGTTCAAGCTGGTTTTGAGGGACTGCACTTCTGCTTAAGGAGTTTGGAGGTATACCTGAATCCATCATTGACTCTAGAAGCCTACATGACCTTGTAGTAGGCTGATATCCCAGCTATGGTCCCTGTATATGAAGATAGCCTGGCTATCAGGGTTTCATACACTGATATGAGTTTCATACACTGGAAACCTCAAATGTAGGATAATGTATCTGGACATCTCTCTGAAGAGCATCCAGAAACCTTAGCTAGTGCAGACATTGATGACAATTATTTGAGCTGGGATCAAATATGATGAATATATTAGATCAGCTTCATTGGCTGCTGGTCCATTTCTAGGCCCAGTTCATAGCCCTAGTTTGATTTATGGATTCTCATCTGGTTTGAGGTCTTGAAACCTGTTCCTCATGTAGCTATCCACATCCCTGATGATCAACTGAGGTCCTCCATTGGATACACCTCAACTGAGATACAGATTGTGCACAAAGGAGGGGTTGCCTTCTTCTGCTGGCTTATCTACCATTAGTACCAGACTCCCGCTAGTTCATCTGTGGCTTCTTCTGATGCCGCTACATGTCATCTCCATAGGATGGGGAGGGGGGAGAACCATGTGATACTTCCTAGTCTGCTTCAGGTGGAAAAATGGCTTGAATGAGTCCTGAAGGATCCCCTGTCAATGCATGTACCTGTCCAGACACAAAGGTCAAAGTAGACTTTAAATGTGTCTTAGCATTTTTTTGTCTTAGCATGCACAGATTTTTTTCAAAGGCAACTATTATTAGTTAGAAGAGATCATAATTACCAGGATTACAGACAGCAAGAGGTGGGGGCTTTAACTCTATACTTCCCTGTTAGTTCCTAAAGGGAAACTTTCCTCGGAAGAGACATTTTTTTATTGGGAGAATTCTCACTTTAATAAATAAATGGTAAGTAAATAAATAATACATTTAATCATACATGTCTTATCCATGAAGTTCCTGCTCAAGGCTCTGGCTTCCTTGGTGCAGTCAATCCATCTCATGTCTGGTCTTCCCTTTCTTTTTCTGCCTTCAACCTTCCCTGGCATGATTGTCTCCAGTCAGTCTTGCTTTCTCATGATGTGCCCAAAGTATAACAGCTTCAGTGTTTCCATTTTTGCCTCTAGGAAAAGTTCTGGCTTGCTTAATCAAGATCCACTTGCTTGCCTTTCTGTTGCTCCAGGGTATGCACAAAGGTTCTTTCAGAACCATGTTTCAAATGCATCAATTTTCTTCCTTTCAGGTTCTTCAGTGCCCAGCTTGCACATGCATGTATAGTGATCAGGAATAAATAGCATGGATTATCTTGGCCTTGGTCTTCAGTGGGTGAACCCAATATTTTGCTGCGGGAACAGTTGCAATTTTCCTCTCCCCTAGCAATACTTTGCTATGGTATTGTGTTTGCTATGAAATATGATTGCATGCATGTTTTGGCTTTCCTTCCTAGAAGTAAGTCCCATTGAAACTCATGGGATTACCTACTAGGAGTGCTTGTGATGCACCAGTGAGGAAGAATACTCCACTAATGTCCTAGTGGCAGCCTCTGAGGATCAGCATATCTTTTTTCATCTGTTGTTATTTGGTTTAGATGTTTACCTATTAACTTTAACAGAAATAGAGCTCACTGTTGGTCCCCTTTCAGTGAAAATTCTCCTCCAAAGAGAAAAAAACCCTAAACACTCTGCTAAGGATTCCAGTAATAGAACCCAACAGCAATGTTCCTAATTGGAAAAATAAGACTGCAAATAAAAAACCCTGGAAAAGAAGTATCTGGAAGGTTTTCACTTTCACCTGAAATCCTTGGCGCACCCCAGCACATATGTTAGTTCCT